CCACATACATGTAGAATTTTTATTTATTTATTTATTTTTATTATTATTATTATGTTTATTGTGGTAAGATCTCTAGCAATTTTTTTTTGTGTGCGGTCAAAATGGAAATTGAATGTTTGGAAGTTTAAGCTAAGCCCATGAATATTAGAACCCAGATTCAATTTTGGTGCCTGATTCTACACGAAAGAAAAAAAAAGTTGGGCCTTTATTACACACGGGGCCTAGCCTGGCCCATAATAGAAATAATTAGAAAAAAAGACTCTAGCGGCCAAGCCTGTTCGACCCAACTTTGTGCCCAACATTTCGTTTGTTTTGATAAAAAATATTTTCTAACTGAAAATGTTATCTAAAAAATGCTACTAGTTATTGACTCAGTGGCGGCGGCGGTAGAGGTGAAAAATGAGGTAGTATTGGTAAGATTGTAAACCAAAAAATATTTTTGACTTTTTAAAAATAAAAAATATTTCTTGTCAAAATAAATTAATTTTTTTGTTATACCAAATGTCAAAAAATAATAAAAACATATTTCATAAGACATTTTTTCTTATAAACTAACGACGCATAAAAAGTATCATTCCAAACTCAGGCCTCGTTTGGGATGCTACTAAATTAGTCAATTAGCTAAAAAGTTACTAAATTAGCCAATTAGCCAATTAGTCATACCAAAAAGTCAACGATTACGGCTTCTCTCTACTTTTTGCACAGCTTTTCGTAATTAGTCAAAAAGTCATCCCAAACATACAAGTTTTTTTACCTACCTTTTTAGCCAATTAGCCAAAAAGTTACTAAATTAGCCTGTTTCCAAACGAGGCCTCAGTCCTATGAAATGATATTACAATCTCAAACCCGCCCAACAAACTCAAATAATTTTGTAAGTCTTAGGTTCTGAAAAATAAATTTTTTTACAAATATTAATAAAGTCCTAGATTCTTTCTATTATTAATATTTTTTAAATCCAGGGTTCCAGTTTCCACAAATATTACATTTGATTGATTTGGGTTAGCCTTACTTGTGCTTGAAGTCCTTCCCATAAATGGGTTGAGCTTCAATCAGTAGGAGTGGGCTACAATGCATGCTTAGCTAGCCTTTCACCTTATGAACATGCATCAAAGTTGAGCTTGAAAAGACACATATGATAGCACGATTAATGTAGGATGATAAACGAATCAAAATACTCGAATTTGACTCGTATATGATTCATATATATATATATATATATATATTCAGTATAGCTCACTTTATATTAAAAAAAAATGTCAAAAATTATTTTTATTAATCATACAACACAATTTATCTATTCCTCTTGTATTATAATTTTTTGTACTTAGGCCTTGTTTGAGAATAGATTTTTTTAGTAACTTTTTTACTTTTTGATTAAAATATGATATAAAAAAATTAGTATATTTGGGATAATTTTTTAATTTTTTATG